TATAATCATAGAAGAAATTGGAAAACAGAACATATAATAATATTTATGCCATATATTTTCCCAGCTTTTTGTCAAAAGATATCTAAATTATAATGAATTGAATTGAAGATCTATGAACCTCAAATATGTCTTGTTATACACAAGATAATGTTCAAATTTTAAGCAGCCAAGAAATAAATCAACATTTGTGATATTTTTACAAGTTAGGTCTTAGAATCACAATTGCTTCTTTCATATTAGCATATAAAGTTCATGAGGAGGGATTTTTGTCTATTTTTTCTGTTTTGCTCACAGCTCTATCTTGGCACCTAGAGTAGTGCCCAGCGCAAGGTAGGCACTCAGTAAATACTGAATGAATAATATTTTGAATAAATGTTATAATAAATAGGTAAAAATGAGGAATGGCTGTAAGTCAAATATACACTCAAATGAGCGTTGTTTATTAAAGTCATCATCTTACACTCAAATGAGTGTTTTATTAAAGTCATCATCTCTGGTAAGTGATGCACACATTCCATTATTTCTATTGCTTCAAATAATTTTGAAACTTCTACGATCACTATTATTTTAGAAACCACATAGAAAACTCTATTCCTTTAAGATTTACATAATTCTGGACCCCCAAATACCAATCAGTTCAGACAACTTCCCCTCTTCAGTCACAGAAATTGAATTGAGGGTAGAAACGTGTCACCAATAAAGGTTTGCCAAATACATGAACTTTGCTTAAAAGCAAGTATAAGAAAGCAGGACTTCAAACCCCCAGACCAATGGTCTGCGGACCACCACTGACTATACTATAACAAAGTCTGAGATAGGTATGCAAGAGAATTAATCTTTAAACTCATCATCTTAGAGGCCATTTCAAAGACTCCTTAAAAATATGACTCCCATTATCTGTCATCAGGTATGAATGGATTAAGAGCTGTGATTTTATATAATGATCTAAATTTGTAAATGAACTTGATGTCATTAACCATATTTGCAATAGCAAACACACGGATCTATTTTTAAAGGGTCTTTATATATTCTTCCTAGTTATCATTTAATTTTGCAGGAATTTTATTTTCTGATGACCACTAAACTATTAATATATTTTTATCATAAGAATGTTTAACTACATATATTCTACCACTAATATCAATTTTGCTGCTGGATATTTCAAATACTTTTTCCTCATAACTCAAGATTCCTTTTTATTCACTATAAGGAGTTAGATGGAAAAAAACAATTTCTTCAAGGAATGAAGAGACTTTCAAACACTGTTTAACATTAATAAATCCAACACTGATTTAGTGTTTTCTGATAGAAGTTCTGAAATGATTATATAATTATTTCCTAGATGGTTCCTCTATAGCAAGGCCCAGCACAGTGCCTCACACATGATAGAAGCCTGATAAATATTTGTGAAATTAATGAACAAATATTCAATAAAAGAAAAATTTCTGGTTTTTAAAAATAAGACACTAAATAAATTACTTATTTTGTAGTTTAATGCCAATCATTCCATGTTTAAATGTCATTTAAAACAGTTTATCTTCAATAAAATAATTTGGTATGCTAAGATCGTTTTCTACATGTCCTCTTTCTTATTCACCAAGTCAGGCATCTTCTCCTTTATCTATCCATCTATTTGCTCTTTATAAAAGTGGGTCTTTACCTTTTTTAAAAAAAATCAATAAATTTGATTTGTGAAAATTTGAAAATTTGATTTGTGAAAATTTGAAACTTATGGATCCATTCCCCAAAAGACATACGTGGACACAGAAGTTTACATATAGAGTCAAGGAGGGCTTGGATCTCCTGAAGCACATCCATGAACCCTTGAGAGGACGACTCGAAGTTAAGAAGTTATATTTTAGTACATCCCTGCATATAAGTATATATCCACATTTGCATGATTGTATCTGAGACAAGCTCTAAGTAGTCTTCTCTTTCCTGTCTCACAGAAACAAATCCTGAAAATATTCATCAAATTCTTCTTCCCTATTTAAAAGAAAAAGTATACATATTGATTAAAATAGAGTAAAAACAATTAGTAGGTGACATCATGAGATTAATAAAAATAAAATACTTTAATTCAACATATAGACTGATTCCTCTAAACGTTAATATATTTCCATGTTCAGCCATCAAATAATTCTTAGTTTCCAGAATACTCATAACTATACCCAGATTGATTAAAACTAAAATATTTTATATGTTAGCACCCCTCACTAAGATTCTGCTTTGAAGTACTTTGTGGAATGTCATTGCTTCTCTTTACTTTTTGGTTTACTTTATATCTTCTCTGTTCATTCTCATATAAAACTATAGTCTGCTCAAGAGAAGAATGAAAAAGAAACTATTTTTAAGGAAAAATGCAAATCTTACTCCCAGGAATGGGGAAAATCTGCTTAGGCTGTAGTTTTTTATTACTTTGTATTATATTTATTTGCAGAAGTAAAGATTATATCTAAAACAAAGAACTATGAAAGGAGATATTAATTTAGATTATAATATATCAAATACTATGAAAACTGTAAAGTACTAAATAAATCTTAGTGCTGGGAGCCAGACTGATAAAGTGGAAACAACACAGGCTTTGTAGTTAGACTGTTAAATCCTAGCTGTCACTTATTAGCTGTGTGAGCAAGTTACTTATCTTCTCTGAACTCAGTTTCCTTATCTATAAAATGAAGATTACATTCCCTTATAGAGTTTTTGTGAGGATTAAATGAATACATGGTTGCTTTTCCTCCTTTGGGGAATAGGAAATCAAGCTGGACAGTAAAAATTAGACAGCTTACCAGTCTCTTTAGAAAATGTTCTTTCAGGCCAGTTATTCATAACAGGACTCCATCATTTGGTTTTAAATAATTGAGAATGCATAAACTCATCACAACTATGTTCAAATTTAAACAAGAACTTAATTACAGAATCAAATCAAATTGATTAAGGAATTACCTGCAATTTGGCATTCCACATGCTACAGTTTCTTTTCCCTAGCATGACAGCAAAATATAGTAGGATTTTAAAAATTATAGTAAGATCTTAAATGAAACTGGTTGAATCTCTGTGCAAACTCAAGTGCTCAGAACTTGATTCATGTCAAAAAATTGAATACACAAAGAGTATGTATCAGGAAAGCTTTCTTTCGGAGGATTTACTCATGTATCTTTATTGCCTAAAAAGATGAGTTGACTCTAAAACCTGTCCTTCTCAGTTATAAAGCTCTTCAAGGGGAAGTGCCCAATAGATGGCTGGGAGTTTGGTTAATAGTTCAGATTAGAGAGCCATGTTTTATTTACAGCAATAATAATCTGATCTATAATAACCACACTTTCAGTAATTATTTAGTTGAAAATAAAAAAAAGGTTAAGGTCATAGAAAAAGAGAAAAAGTAATCTTGCTTATTAAAAACTTCTTTTCGGGCCGGCCCGTGGCTCACTTGGGAGAGTGTGGTACTGATAACACCAAGGCCACAGGCTTGGATCCTATATAGGAATGGCCAGTTTGCTCACTGGCTGAGCATGGTGCTGACAACACCAAGTCAAGGGTTAAGATCCCCTTACTGGTCATCTTTAAAAAAAAAAAAAACCCTTCTTTTCAACACACCCGAATTCTATTACACTAAAAACATATAATTAGCAAAATGCTTTATAATCAGTTTAAATTAATGAATTATAATTGATTCAACAGGTCTCTTTCTATTCTGAACCAACATGCCTAAGAATTGACAAAATGGGACTAAAATTTATTAAGTGGTTACTTTATTTGTAGGTATTGTACGAGGTGATTCACCTCCTTTGTTTCATTTAATCTTCACAATAAACTCTGTGGTATTATTATTTGGTAGGTGTCATTTATATCCTTTTAATAGATTAAAACATCCCAGTATAAGACAAGAGCTGATAACTTCCCAGCCCACACCTATGCAGCATTTCTTCTTCCATCCCAGAGCAGAGAACAACGAGTGCACTGAGTTATCTGTATTTTAGGGGCTAAGGTGGGTGTTGGCAAGTACACTTCTACAGCCGTATAAATCTTCAAGGGGCTCCTCTGTTTGGATTTATGATGATCACAGTGTCATGGAATAGGCTGCTCTGGATGCTAGTAAACAGCCCTCTCTGAAGGAATCCAAGCAAGAACCAGAGGTTCATCTGTTAAATGGGCTGATGAAAGATTCATTCACCATGAGGAAGCTGGACATAATAAACTCTCATCTTACCAAGATAAGCAGTCTTTGGCATTAAACAGATATTCATGATGGCAATAGCTTCCTAAACTGATTTAAAGGGCATGTATTTAAATAAATAAATAAATAAATGATATGTCTTATCTATTAATATGAGCACTTACTGTGATTTTTCATCTGTCTCTGGTAGTGGACCCTTCCAAAGTTCAGATTCTGAAACACTTTCTTCCTCATCAGAGTTTCCTGTTCATTTAACAGAGATTTTTTTTTTTAACGTATTATATTTAAAGCACATTTTGAACTACTCACTAATGCAATTTAAATTAACTTTGGATTTAGATGCAATTTAGATTTAAGTTTTATGGCTCTCCAAAAATTTAATTCACTCTCCAAGATACAATAAATTCTTTTAAAAATAAATGAATAAGCTGAGAGATACCAAAGAATCTCAGCAAAAAGGCCAAGGATTTAAAATCTCATGAAAGACTTCTCTAAGTCACACTGAGTTGAAGTAGCAATACAAAGGAATTATCTCTTGCAACTGTCTTTGATTTAGTTTCTTCTTTTTCTTGGTCATACAAGACATGCAAGTTAAGATTTTTGCGGAGAGCATAATTACATTAGGATCTGTACCTCAACAACTGAGCTGATATGTAAGACCAGCTTGTTAAATTATTTTTAAAGATTTGTCAGACATTTTTTAAAACTAATGTTGATTACATTAATTAGAAGATGCCTGTTTCAGGGAAGAAACAGGCATTCTCATACATTGTTGGGAGTGAAAATTCTGTAAACCTTTTTCTTCAGGAAAATCTGGCAATACAGATCAGTTTAAAACATATGCCCTTTGACCAGCAATACTGCTTTTAGGAATTTGATTATTTACTTAGAAAAAATAAGCACCTCAGATACATATGTACAAAGATGTGCACTGTATAACAACAACAACAAAAGAAAACCTAAATCCCCACCAATCAGTGATTAAGGATTGGTTAAATAAATATTATACATACAGCTATTAGCATATCTATATGAATTGCCATGGAAAAAGTGCATGTTATATCAAATTTTTAAAATGTTACAGAAAGTATGCATAATACAATCTGATTTATGTCAAAAATATTATATATTTGTTATATATAT